TGAAAAAAAAAAGGGGAAAAAAAAAAAAAAAAAAAGAGGTATAAATTTGGTGGGTTTGAGGTTTTAATAAAGCTTAAGGAAGATAGGTGTCTTAAAAAGCATGGGGCAAAGGGTGAAGGAAGTGGTCACCACTGTTTTTAATGACTCATCTAACTTGCCTCTCCCCCTTTTAAATAACATTCACTACCACAAACACACACATATATATATATAGTAAAACTGAAAAAACAAGCATATAATAAAGCATTATTAAATCCAAAAGTATAATAAATGTATTGAAAATGCTTACATAGTTAATAGGTGTTCAAATATAAATGAGAGGTAAATAGTTTTCAAGTTTAAACCGTCAACAAAAATGTAACTCTTTTAAGATTATTTGAATATCTAAAATCAGTAATATTTGTTTGACCAATCTTAAATATAATGGGACTAAGTTTATATAAAACCCATCTACATAATGGAATAGAATAGAGCATATTTAATTTTCATTGGTTGCAACTAAGAGGCTGACAAGTCAAATGGTCAAATCACCTATTGAAGGTTTCAATATAATAATTTAAATCATGTAATATAAGCAATAAAAGGAAATGCTTATCATAACCAAATCTAATGTGTCACATGTACCTTGTAATAAATTATTAATCTTCCCATCAAATATTTAAAATAAAAGTAGAATATGGGTTGAATTTACATATTTAAATAAATTAAATATTATCCCTTCATTAACACCAATTGCATCTATTTGTCTAACTATAATTTTTTCAATGACCAATGGTTGTGTTCCTGTCGGCAAAATGGAAAATTATGAACTTACTAAAGATGTAGACCGGAACGTGGAAAGCAAAAAATCTCTTATGTGGCCCTACACCATTAAATACAACGGTGACGGTTCACAATTTCAATGATCACACTTATGTGGGAAGGAAATGCTCTTTTGACTTGAATAGTAGTAACTATATTTTTTTTTTTAGAAAAATAAAAAACAAAATTTATGTAATTATTTTTATGCGAATAGTTAATAAAAATTATAAAGATAAAATAGAAATAGAAAAGAAATTAAGATTTGAACTGGGATCTCTCAAATAGATTCGGGTTAAAAAGGAAATTATTTCGACGAGCTGCTTAATTTGTAATATAGTAAGTAATAAAGTTTGCAAATAAAAATAAAAATAGAAATAAAGAAGATTAAATTTGAATTTAGGAAAAGGATAAAAAGAAAAAGCTTATTTTGTAATGTGGGGTTTAAAACATGTCGCTAGTCGTGGACCACGCTACTTTGCCAAAACGGCAGTGAAAATGGGCGTGTACATCACAGCCACGTGGCTGTAAAGTAAAGCGCGTCAAAGTACAGATCACGCGCTTCCACCGCGAGTTACCGACGGAGAGCAAGAAGAAAAAAAAAAAAGAAAAACAAAAAAGGAGGATATTGACTGATCACGCGGGCCAGCTAAGCAGTTCACGCGATGAAGATGGCTTGGTCACGAAAACAAAACGAACACGTTTTACACAGTGCATGCCGTCCACGTGTCCGACTAAAGTGGGACATGAATGACGTGGCGAAATCAGAGGAGGAGTCCTAGGCTTTATCGAAAAAAATAATAATAATAGAAACTAATTATTATTCAGCATTATAAGCACGGTGATGAAGCTCGTGATTAACACGTGATATAACACGGTTCGAGGCGGTGCAGGTTGCGTGAATCCACCACGTGACCTGCATTATATTTGTTTATTTCATACATTTAAAATAAATTATGATAATCAAACCTATTTCTTTCGTCTTTTGTTTTTATTTTGAAATTTTAATTTTTAAACAATGAATTCTTTAAACTTTTAATTTTGATCATTAATAAATTCAAGAATGCTAAAAACTAATGGACAATCAAATTTAAATTTACATTATTTTTTTTTATAATTTAAATTTTTTTAAAGTTAAATTTGCATTTTTAACATTTTTTTCCACTTGATATAAAATCTTCTATATTTTATTTAGGTGTACTATAATTATCACAACTATTTTAATTATTAGAATTATTAAAGCACTAATCCTCTCACATATTTAAATACACATGTTTAACATTTCAAACATTTAATTCTTAAATATTTTATTATTTTGTTCGTAATTATTTTGGCCGACATTATCAGTAAATATAATTTTGTTTTTAATATGTATATATATATGCATTGTACAACACATTACAACGTCAATTTAATAATAGATTCAACTCACATTGATATAACCTACCATTTGTATTATTCTTCAAATGAAAAATAAAAGAAAAAATAAAAAAAGGAAAATTTGGATAAATGGGAGGCCACGTTTCGGATTAGGATTGGAGGAAAGGGGTAGTTTTAAGGATATTTTGGGGGATGCGGTTGGTTTAAAGGGTTGAAGCTTACAGCCTTAAGCACCCAAATAAAACCAACTGCTCCTTCACGTGCTTCCCAGCCAATGAAAACAAATCTCCGGACCCACGTGAATTACACGATTAAATCACATTTCCTACTTTTCTATCTTTTATTTATTTATTTATTTTTAAATTCGGATTAAATTGCAAATTTATTTTCTTAACTCTCCTAACTATACACATAATCTTCACAAATAAGTAACATTTTCATTCAAATAATAAACATTCATAGATTAATGTGTGATAGTAGCAGTCGCGACTTATTTATAAATTGGTTATTAGTTTGAAAAAAATGATAAAACTTTGACGTATTGAAGATAGACTTGCAATCTATGGTCCCCAAATGTGAATATGTACCTCATCAAATAGCTACCTATCATTTATTTATTTTAAAATCAATCACTTACCATGTATATATTTTTAAAAAATTTTAATTTATATTAAATAACAAATGAAAATTGAAAATAAATAAATGAATATTGATTTAAGAGTGGAGCAAGAATGGGAAATAATTGAATTCTAAGCTGAAACGAGACCAAAGTTTTTTTTTTTTTCTTTTTTCACAA